ACTGTTTAAAGGACTGTTACATAATTTCATGAGATTTCAACTGTTTAAAGAGACTGTACATAATTTCAAGAGATTTTAACTGTTTAAAGGGACTGTTACATCATTTCAAGAGATGTTAACTGTTTAAAGGGACTGTTACATAATTTCAAGAGATTTTAACCGTTTTATAGGGACTGTTACATAATTTCAAGAGATTTTAACTGTTTAAAGGGACTGTTACATAATGTCCACAGATTTTAACTGTTTAAAGGACTGTTACATAATTTCAAGAGATTTTAACTGTTTAAAGAGACAGTTACATAATTTCAAGAGGAAATTGTAACTTTTATATTTTTGATTTTTATCGATTTTTTTCTTTGATTATCAGGCAAATTGTGTTTGATGTTTTGACGTTTATCGGTTACAAACAGGACATGTACTGTCACATGGGATCCCAACGAAAGTCCCTTTGATAGTAGAGTATTTTTTAAAAATGTAATATCTTCTGTAATTCCATTTTTTTCTTCCTCCAGGAAGCATTATTTACTGAAGATCAGTATTAATAGCAGGAAATAAAAAATAATTCTCCCTTCATTAGAATAATATGATATGATACAGTGATAACCAGAAAACAATGGAATAGAAAGACGACATTATAGCAATACTTAAGCGTTTTGATGTTGTTACAAGGCAAATATTTTTACGAGTAACTTAGCAAAGCACAATTTAAATGAAAATGGCCTATTTACATTATACAATATGTCTAATGATCATTGAACTAGTTTAAGTCCTAACTTGAGTTTAAAAGTCGTCTTCCTATTTCAGAGTTTTCTGTTATGTATAATGTTAATGTATAAAGTTTAATCGATAAAAATATAATATAATAATATAAATAATGGATTATTAAGACATTTGCCTACCCTGTACTTAAAGGTAAAAGAAACTGAAATTTCAGTAGAGTAAATAGAACTTTCTAGAATTAGAGGGGGGGGGGGGGAATTTTGTTATAAGATTACAGAGGAAGGGGTAAAAAGTATTCATTCCCCCCTATCTGAAATCCTGGAGCCGTCCTTGCATTTCAATCTTTGATCTTACAGAATTTCTTGTTTGAAATATCAAAGGGCTACGACATTGGGTTGTTAAGATAAATGGATTAGAAGATTTAAGTTGACTTTGCTTCCAGATTTTACCTTTTTATCAGGTTTTCGTTGTACGATAAAACAAGCATTTTTCACCGTATATTGAAGATCCAGTTATTTATGTTTGATGGTAGAAAGTGTACCCAATCATAGAGTTGGTACACTAAGGGGCAGAAATTAGGGTTAGAAGATATATTTTGGTAACCGTCTAGCACCACAATATGCGTGTGTCAGGGGCCGGTAGGTTATTAGGTTAACTATGGTTATAAACCCTGAGCCCGAAACTGAAGAGTGTCGTAATGAAACCCAGTTTCTTGAATGAGGTTAAGAAATATTGTTTCATGTGGTTTCTTCACGTTCTCTTTTTGTTTTCTGATTTCTTAAATTAAAGAGTTAAGACCTCCAAGTTTAGGCTCTTACTTTCAGCGGAGAGTGTTGTAGGTTATCATATATATTGTTCAATATATTAGCCTTAGGTTACGGGAAACCTAGGGGCCTTAGGAGGCCCCTTGGGGACCTTAGGGGGCCATGGGGACCAAAGTTTGATGCATTCAGAAATTCCATGGTTTATTGAATGTGCGATTTTTTTTACACATCTTGTACTATTTACATCAGTTGTCTCAGGTTTGTTATCGATAATGTCACGCTAAAATACAGGTCCTAATTAAAGGTTTGTACATGACCAGTAATTTTCAGCAAAATTATTATTATTTATTTTAAATTATTTTAGGTTAGGTTGGGTTAAGACAATTTCTGGGCCAATCGCTGCGGGTAGAAGGGGCCGAGCGCTGTGGCTAAGACAGGCTACATATGAGATCCATGTACAAAATTGATAGGAGGGGGGGATGGGTGGTCCCGAGGGGGAGGCGGGGGGAGAGTCCAGAAATCGTCCTCTAGGAAATTACACCAAATTAAAATTCTCAATTGGTGTCACGCTAAACTTATAGGTCTAGATTAAAACTTCAGGGTTATAAGTAAAAGATCAAAATTAGAGGTTAGTAAGGTTTTGGTATCGTTTTTGTTGGTTTTTGAAGGTGTTCACTCACGTCATCTTTATATAGAGACATAGGTGTATAGGGTACTGCTGTGAAACGTGCATGCCAGTCTATAATATAGGGCCTATTGAAATTACCTCATCAATTGCAATTACTGTGCTATAAAGTTGTATCTGGTTCTCAGCTTGAATCTGCACTATGCATGTTTTTATCAGCCTGGTTTTGCTTGGATAGTTCCGCATAGAGACTGATAACTAGATTCAGTTTATCAATAACCTTTAGACAGGGCTAGTTAGACTAAAGTAAATCATAAGATTGAAATCTCAAATGTTTTCAATCATACTTCCTGTGATTCAAGAGCTATTGAGATGAACAATAATGTTTTGAATTTCTAATAAATAACCGGATAAATTTGCTAGTCCCCTACTTGTGCGTAAAATCAGAGCTACTGGAGCTGTAAGGTCACAAAGTTGTACCAGTAATGTAGCATAATGTAGCATAATGTAGCATAATGTAGCATGATGTAGCACAATGTACCAGTAATGTAGCATATTGTAGCATAATGTACCAGTAATGTAGCATAATGTAGCTTAATGTAGCATAATGTAGCATAATGCAGCATAATGTAGCTTAATGTAGCACAATGTACCAGTAATGTAGCATTATACCTTCTCCTTGCAGTTGGACGGTAAAAAATGAAAGGTTTAAAGATCGGGAAAAATCTTTAAAATTGACAGAAATTAACAAATAAATGTCAGACGTTTTTTCAATACTGGATTGAACTACTTAAACCCCCACCAGTCATAAACCAGCCCTGAGACAGTTTAAGTGGAAAACAATATATTTAGGTGAAATAGATTGAGTCTTTGTCACAAACTCAAATTGTCTAATTCCTTTAACTTTGCAACCTCATGGTGTAAACCTATGATATTTCAAACGTAGATTATTTGATATAACAGAATTCTTAGTTTGAAATATCAAAGGTCTACGACATTGGGTTACAAAGATACAGAGATTAGGTAATTTGAGTTAGTGGCAAAAACTCAGTTCTTAAAAAAAGAAGACAATTATTGTAAACCCACAAAAAATGAAACAAATTATACAAATGAGAAAGAAAGATTTTAATGGAAACGTTATAACCGGGACAACCCCATATACTGGGTACAGTAGACGGGCTGGTACGGTTTCACACTCCACCAGGCAATCCTTGGACTGGTTCAGATCATGCATCCTTTGAACTTTTATGCACTGTTTTCTTTACCTTTCTTTTCAAAATCATTAATTACATCAATTAAAAACAAAATCTACGACAATTAAACCTGAAACTCGTTCTGTTTACAAAGATTTTGGTCGTCTATAAAGTATCTTTCTTTGTTGTTGTAAACTTGGAACCCTATTTTCGCTCATAAATAAATGTCAGGTATAGCTGGACAAATATGCTAAAATTTGTTGAGTAACCAGGGGGGTAATAAAGGCAAAGAAAAAGGGTGGGGAATTTAATTTTTTTTTCAAAATTCATTTTTTAAGTGTTTTTCAAATTCCACGGGCAACGCCGGGCACTTCAGCTAGTAGAGTATAGAAGGGGGGAGAAAAATGTTGCTTATTTCTAGTAATTTATCAAATGTCACGCTTTTAAAGGAATTAACAAAAGAATATTTAATTTACTTATTCTAAATGTATATAAATACTTTTTTCNCGATAATAACATCCTCTCCAGATACACGAAGCCCTGAGATGAAAACTTATGAATGAATAAGGCCTGAGATGAAGAATTATGAAGAATTCTGAGATAGAAATTTATGAATGACGAAGCCTTGAGATGAAAATTTGGGAATGACAAAGCCTTTAGATGGAAATTTATGAATGACAAAGCCTTGAGATGAAACTTTATAAATGAGGAAGCCTTAAGGTGGAAATTTATGAATGACAAAGCCCTGAGATGGAAACTTATAAATGACGAAGCCTTGAGATGAAAAGTCATAAATGACGAAGCCTTGAAATGGAAATTTATGAATGACGAAGCCCTAAGATAGAAATTTATGAATATCAAAGCCCTAAGATAAAAATTTATAATTGACGAAGCCCTAAGATAGAAATTTATGAATGACGAAGCCCTAAGATAGAAATTTATGAATGACGAAGCCTTGAGATGAAAATTTATAAATGACGAAGCCTTAAGATAGAAATTTATGATTGACGAAGCCCTGAGATAGAAATTTATGAATGACGAAGCCCTAAGATAGTTTATGAATATCAAAGCCCTAAGATAAAAATTTATAATTGACGAAGCCCTAAGATAGAAAATGAATGACGAAGCCTTGAGATGAATAATTTATGAATGACGAAGCCCTGAGATGAAGAGTTCGGAAGGACGAAGCCCTAAGATGAAATTTTAGAAATGATGAAAGCCCTAAGATGAAAACTTATAAATAACGAAGCCCTGAGGTGGAAATTTATGAATGGCAAAACACTGAAATGGAAATTTGTAAATGACGAAACCCTGAGATGGACATTTTTGAATGACGACGCCCTGAGTTTGAATTTTGATTTTCTGGTGGACAAAGAAAATTGGACATTAACCAGCCTTTTTGATAATTTGTACATGAAAATTCATTTAGGCTTTTAGGGCGCTTTGCGCCTATCTTCTATTTCAATTTTTAACATTTTCTTATCGTAAAACAAAAAATCGCGAATTTTATAAAAAAAAAATCGTGGATTTTCAAAAATCAATGGAAATCGAATTTTGTTTCAGATCTGATAATAATATATTCCAGGGATACCAGATCTGATGATAATATATTCTAGGGATATCAGATCTGATAATAGTATATTCTAGGGCTACCAAATCTGATAATAAAATGTTCCAAGGATACCAGATCTGATAATAATATATTCCAGGGATACCAGATCTGATAATAATATATTCCAGGGATACCAGATCTGATAATAATATATTCCAGGGATACTAGATCTGATGGCTGGTTTCTGATGACCTCTATTTGGCCGACACTCTGTCTATCAGCATCCTACTACGCTATAGGAACAATGCACTAGGATAAAAATAGTCTTAATACAGTTAGAACCAGAAAACTCTGAAATAGGAAGACGACTTTCAAATCCAAGTAATAATGAACATGAGACGCACTAGTTTCGCAGTGTAAACAGACTTATTTCACTTAATAATTTAATTCTATACAATTTTAAGTAAATATAATTGCTTTGTCTTGATTGTCGTCTCTGTTCTTTCTTTTCAATAAGACAAGGACTTTGAAATTGTGCGTGGATATTTTGGCAGGGATTTAGGACGTTTAAAATTCACAAAATCCAAATCCAAAGAAGTTTGAGACAATCTTTCTTTTTTATGATTGACACTCACATTGATCAACCGTGCTATAAAAACTTGCTTCCAAGACTGGATTAATTTTGGAAAGTCACACCGCCATGGGCACAGATTTTACCACAATAAATCACTTTTTTAGTTCTAGACATATTTTTATTTCGAATACTAAAGCACTAGCTTATATTTTCGTAATAGCAATTGTCAAATTATTTTCTTAATTTTTCAAATGCAATTGTACAGTTCGCTTCCTTGGTCCTTGGTACATGAAAAACAGGTAAAATTGTACATAAAACCAGGGACCGAAGTTAATGAATTGGAGAAATGGCTGAATTACCTACTGTCAGGTTTAATTTTGAATCGTTGATTAGCTTTGAATCGATGATTTAAGATTAGAACCGCCGGTAGATTGCTCAACTACCTAGCTCAAATTCAACGAAATCGGTCCTGCAGTATTACTACATTTATTTCATGATTATAGATCAGTATTTTCTCTTACACTTGAATTAAAAAGAAGCTGTTCTAACTTGTCTAAGATGTTTAACGCAAACTTTAAAAAAAATCCTCCACAAATTACAGCATTGCGATCAAATTTAAGAAAGAAAATTTTTTCTCCATTTTATGGATTCCCCTGTGCTGGGTTAACCACGTGACAAAGGATGAGACTTCAGAGACGAGCGTACGAATTTTTTCTGATTCTTCATTTTCATGATTCCATGTAAAATTGTGCCTTTCTTTGTCAAATATCAGCCATTTCATGACTTATCCAAGCCTTGGAATCGTAATATCTTTAAAGTTGACCTTGGAATCGTAATATCTTTAAAGTTGACCTTGGAATCGTAATATCTTTAAAGTTTCAAGTCGTTTTTACAGTCTTATTCCTTTATCTGATCAAATATTAGACTGATCAAATTCTTCTGAAATAAATAGTCTTTAAATGTATTTAAAGGGACTGTAAGCAAAATTTTAAGTGACCCTCCATACAAAGATGGCAATTCCCGATTTACAACGGTACCCTTGAAACCTTAATCCATTAAAAAAGCGGAAAGTGTTTAATATTTATGTGAGAGTCTCCCTTGCTTCTTTTAAGCAAGAAATGCGCAAGTCATATTCGCAGATTAACCGCAAAGGAAAATAAACAATTAGAAGAAACAAAATCTAATTCTAATTCATATTTGATCAGACAACGCTTTAAAGATATCGTTGTAAAATTGGTATTGCCATATTTTAATGTACAGTCCCTTTAAAGTAAAATTGCATTAATTCATGTTAGGCTATAAACACTAAACAGCCCGTAAACCTGCACACAGTGCACAATCAGCAATGTTAATTAAGCGTTAATTTCTTTTTCTCACGCTATTTCATTCATTGTTGCTTACCCCACACAATATAAATCTAGTACTATTCTATAGTACATTTTGTAAACTATTAATATTGCAATTTATATTGCATGAATTTTTAAGTTGGATTTTGAGTAATCTGTAATCTGTCATCTGTCATCTGTCATCTGTCATCTGTCATCTGTGTAATCTGTGTAATCTGTGTAATCTGTGTAATCTGTAATCTGTAATCTGTAATCTGTAATTTGTAATCAGTAATCTGTAATCTGTAATCTGTAATCTGTAATCTGTAATCTGTAATCTGTAATCTGTAATCTGTAATCTGTAATCTGTAATCTGTAATCTGTAATTTGTAATCTGTTCTCTGTGTAATCTGCAATCTCTTATCTCTAATCTGTAATCTGTAATCTGTAATCTGTAATCTGTAATCTGTAATCTGTAATCTGTAATCTGTAATCTGTAATCTGTAATCTGTAATCTGTTCTCTGTGTAATCTGTAATCTGTAATCTGTTCTCTGTGTAATCTGTAATCTGTAATCTGTTCTCTGTGTAATCTGTATTCTGTGATCTGTAATCTGTAATCTGTAATATGTGTAATCTGTATAGAAGTCGCTCTATATTCTAGGGAACCGTTTGAACTGAAGAAAGTAATGCTTGTTTACAATCTGTTCCAAGCAATATTTAACTCATGGTTGCTCTATAAGGTAATATTTTTAACATGAGTGTAAACAATCATATTTCAAGCAATATTCAACTCATGGTTGCTTTATAAGGTAATATTTTTAACATGAGTGTAAACAATCATATTTCAAGGGGGGGGGGGCTAAACCCCCCTTGAAACCACACATTTCCCTGTTTAACACTATCTGCGTAGTTCTACCTTCTCCTCGTTATTTTATAAATTCTTCCTTCTTCCCTGTAGTATTCACAACTAAAACAGTCGGTGTTGTTTTCAATAGAATTAAGACGACTTTTCATGTTTTTGCTTACTCGTAAAACTTGTAATTTAAAATCTTGTAAGAAATCACAACTTAAGTATAAAGTCGTCTTCTTTGTGTTGATATTAACGCTGACCACTGTATTATTTAGGCCGGGCTTCTATGGTTTGGTCCATACAACTGGCGATGTCAACCAATCGATTATTCAAACAGGTGTTTTATTTAACAAATTGACACTAAATTAATCTTTTTTCTTTGTCTACCTAACTTTTTTCTTCTCCTCATTCACTTTATTTCTTCTTCTAAAACATGTGTATTTTCGCATTTAATTCTCTAAATTTTCTTATTTTATATCACTTTATATTCTTCTTCTAAATGGCTGTATTTTCTTCCTCTAAGTAACTTTTCTCTTCTTTTAAATCCCTTTAAAACCTTCTTCTTAATCCCGTTATTTTCTTCTTCTTAATTCCTTTATTTCCTTCTTCTTAATCTCTTTATTTTCTTCTTCTTAATTCCTTTGTTTCCTTCTTCTAAATCCCTCTAGTTTCGTCTTCTAAATCCCTTTATTTCATTCTTATTAATCCCTTTTTTTCCTTCTTCTTAATCCCTCTAGTTTCTTCTTCTTAACCCCTTTATTTCATTCTTCTTTATCTCTTTTTTTCCTTCTTCTTAATCCCTCTAGTTTCTTCTTCTTAATCCCTTTATTTCATTCTTCTTAATTCCTTTTTTTCCTTTTTCTTAATCCCTCTAGTTCTTCTTCTTAATCCCTTTATTCCTTGTTCTTAATCCCTTTAGTTTATTTATCTTAATCTCTTTAGTTTCTTCTTCTAAATCACTATTAATGATTGAATAAAAATACAGGAAAGAAAATTAATCTATTTGCACGAACAAACCAATTTTAACTAATTAACATAAACGTTGGACTAACAACTCTGGATTAAGAACATAATTTCTTCCTGGGATTGTTTGATTTATACAAAGTTACCCACAAAGGATGAGACTTCAGAGACGACTTTCATATATTCAATATTCCCTGCAACTGTAAACCGGTTTCTTGCTTTGCCAGATCAAGAAACAAACTATGCTCAAAGCCTAATTCGAGGCAAAAAAAAATATATTAACCTTGAATTCGTCATATTTTAAAATTTTCAGATCGTCTTTACAGTCTCATTCTTTGTAAATAACCCTGAGGCCGAATTTAAAGACATTTGATACAATTTAAAGTGAAACCAAACCATAATTAAGCCGCGGCTCAAATTCTTTAAATTCGGCCTCTGGTTGATTAAACATTTTCAATTTTCTATTTCAGTTCTGCAGGAGAAGCAGCTTTGAATGTAACCTATTGGTATTTTATCTCAAAGTTCTTGGATTTCTTTGATTCATTTTTCTTTGTGCTCAGGAAAAAGTTCAGGTGAAGACGCAAATGCTAAAAAATTAAAGGGAATGTTAACGTAATTTTAATTAATCTTGCTTTCATAGATTGACCAGTCTAATCCATAACAGTACCCTTAAAACCTTTATCTGATCAACCATGAATTTTATATTCATGTTTATAATTTTAAAAACAGATTATTCTTCAACTGTTGGTTCTCTATAACGAAAGTGACTTGCGCATTTTTACTGAAGTAAAACCAGGGAGAAAAGATCGGAATTAAACTGGAAATGGGCCTTTGCCTCGGTAAACATTGCTCAGTCCCTTTCAGCCTGAAAAGGAGTTCAAAGAGTATAATTCATGTCAATGTTCACAAATTATACGTAGTAAATTTTAATAATAGCGTATGATCCCTGTACATATCCATTTTAATTTCTTCTTTTTATTAAGTTTGTGCTTAAATGAACTCAGATCAGAAATGTAAAGTAAAGTTTGCTGAAATGAACTCTGGAATACATGACAGGTTGTCAGAGATTTCTTTTAAATTTTTTCTATAAAAAAGATGTTCCAGGGCCCAGAAGGTTTTTTAGCACAAATGTGTGAAGTACACCTGCAGTATAGAAACAGTACTACAAAATGGTGGCTTTACACTTTTTTTGACTTAATTCCACTCTATACTTATCTATTCTCTTTGGCAATTTCTTTTAGTTTTATAAAAGATGAGCATGTCCGATATCCAATGGTACTGCATAAACACCTTTAACTAATTAATAGTGTGGAAGATATCGCAGTATTTTTTGTATTACGCGTGTTTTGATCATTTCTGCAGCAGAAATGCGCATGTAATTTTTGAAGTAAAACCACAATTGAAAATAATCAGTTAAAATGAAAATCAAAAAGAGAAAAATCGATTTATAATTCAAATTTGATTAGACCTATTTTATAGAATTCATCAGTTTAAAGATTTAAAAACGACGATATCTTCACCATTGTTGCTCAAGCGAAGCAGTTTAAAAAATAGTCTTATTTGTTGCAGTCACCTGTCTACCCTCCATGTTGTTCATCATGGCGGGCTTCCGATCTTCGTTTGGTTTGGTCCAAGATTTGTCGGAGGGATGTTGCAATTATTTTTCGTCAAAGTAAAATTTTAATACTGTGGTAACCAGAAAACTCTGGAATAGGAAGTTGACTTTTAGACTCAGTTATAGTTCAATGAACGTATGAAGCAGTTGTGCAGTGTAAACAGACCCAATTGATTTAATAATATATTAGTAAAGCTACAGGGTCACTAATCAATTAAAAGTTCAAGACAACTCTCAAGTCGTCTTGCTATTTTCATGTTTCGTGGCACACCCTGTACAAAATGCACATTAATTTAATGTTGTCTTCCTATTCTACAGTTTTCTAGACAATTCTGATTTTTTATTTTTTATTTAGTTACAGTGAAAAACTAGCATTTTTTTACTTCTCAGGATTATTCTTCTAATTTGGAGTAAAATAAAAAATAAGGGTTTTAAAAAAGCATTTTTTACTTTTTTTTGTGATATTATATTATTCAAAGCATAAATAATAATAATTTGATTTGTTATTTCAATATTTTTATATTGCAAACCATCTAATAGGAGGACACACTACATTCTGTGGTTTTCTAAACAGTGGAATACATGTAGTTATGTATCTGTACTACTTCCTTGCAGCTCTAGGACCTAAGGTATAATTTAAGCATTGACGTGTTTTCAGTTGGCTGGTTTTTTTGCCTATATTTTCTTTCATGGTCAGAATTTGGCATAAATTTGTCAAAATTAGGCATGATTTGGCATAATTTGGCATAATTTGGCATAACGGGGAATAATTTGACATAATTTGGCATAATTTGTCAAAATTTGGCATACTTTAGCATAATTTTGCATAGTTTTGCATATTTTGGCATAATTTGGCATAATTTGGCATAATTTGGCATAATTTGTCAAAATTTGCCATAATTTGCCATAATTTGGGATAATTTGGCATAATTTGTCAAAATTTGGCATATTTTGGCATAATTTATCAAAATTTTGCATAATTTGGCATAATCTGTCATAATTTGGCATAATTTTGCATAACTTGTCATAACTTGGCATAATTTGGCATAATTTGTTAAAATTTTGGCATTATTTGGCATAATTTGTTATAATTTGGCATAATTTGTCATAATTTGTCATAATTTTGTATAATTTGGCATAATTTGGCATACATTTGGCATAATTTGTCAAAATTTTGCATAATTTGGCATAATCTGTTATAATTTTGCATAATTTGGCATAATTTGTCAAAGTTTGTTATAATTTGGCATACTTTGTCATAACTCATAATTTGCCATAATTTCGCATAATTTGTCATAACTCTGCATAATTTCGCACCAAATTTATGCTAAAAACGACCCAAAAACATGAACGTGATCATTTTTGGATAATTTTTTTACAATGTATATGATGTAATGTATAGATGTTGTGTGGTATTTCCGATATTTATTCATTTATTGCACAAAAGTCTAAAAGATCGCTGAAAAACGCACTATTTTATTATTCAAATTTCTATTTAGGTAACTCCGTATCTCTGGTGGAAACGGTATCTCACAAAACTTCAGATGATTCAGTTTGTCGTCTTCTTTATCCACGCTCTTCAACCTCTCTTCATCGAGTGTGACTATCCTAAGGTGAGTTTAACCCAGAAGTTTGGAAACATCGTACGAATTTATAAAATGTCGTCTTGACAATTTTTCAATTATTGAATTATAAGACTAAATATCTGCAGCAGTCCATCATCAGTAAAGGTTTAGAAAACATTGAACACCTCAAAATAAAAGGAAAGTTGCTATAAAGATATTCCCCCCCCCGTTCTCAGAAAGGAAAATGAAAGTTACTATATAGATATCACCCCAGTTCTCAGAAAGGAAAATTAAAGTAATAAAGCTACTATAGAGGTATTCCCCCCAGTTCTCAGAAAGGAAATGAAAAACGCTATATAGATACTTTCCCCAGTTTTCAGAAAGGAAAAAGGAAAGTTACTATATAGTATATAGGTATTTCCCCCAGTTCTCAGAAAGGAAAAGGAAAAAATCTATATAGGTATTCCCCCCAGTTCTCAGAAAGGAAAATGAAAGTTGCTATATAGGTATTCCCCTCAGTTCTGAGAAAGGAAAAGGAAAGTTGCTATATAGTTATTCCACCCAGTTCTCAGAAAGGAAAATGAAAGCTACTATATAGGTATTCCCCCCAGTTCTCAGAAAGGAAAAGAAAAGTTGCTATATAGGTATTCCCCCCAGTTCTCAGAAAGGAAAAGGAAAGTTACTATATTAATAGTTCACTTATAAATTAATTGGCCGTTGATAGTGTTAATCGACAATCAAATTACAACTTACAAGGCAAGAATTATAGAATTTAAAATTCAAATTCGTTAGTTCAAATAATTCGTTAATTTTCGTTTCGTTTGTCAAGTTACGAATCTTGGGTTGGTGGGTTATATTATAATAAATAATATTGACAAAAAAATTGTGATTTCAAGTCTAGTAAAAACTGGGAAGTTGTTGATAAATATATACAGGGTTACCCACAATGAAGATGAGACTTCAGAGACGATTGTGCGAAATTGGTTTAGTCCGTTTCTTGCATGATCATGGTTCATTTTTAGGATAAAACTGGCTAATTTCTGTGCTTCATCATTTAGTAAACCATCAGAGTACTAACTTAAATGCAGGAACCAAAATAAAGCTTTAAATCGTCATATTTTTAGAGTCATGGAGTCCTCTTTACAGTCTCATCCTTTGGGGTTAACCCTGTACATTGGGCACGGGCAGCCGTAGTACATTTGAATTTCCGAACCGGGTCAACCTTTCCGGTCCTAGTACTGTACCTAGCTCTATGGACAGCACTAGCTGGTGCAACAAGGTTTACGCGATTAGACTTTATTCTTCATATAGGTTGAATTTACTTTTACGAAAGGGGCAGAGGTCCGAGTGAGATTTTAATTTGTTTTTAACTAAAAAATGTCAACAAATATACTACACAAAAATCGCCACTCTGCAAATATTAATGATATATTGCCATACTGCACACTGAACTATACACAGAAGAAGAAGGTCAATGCAATATTAATAGTACGGCTTTGTGACCTTGTAGCTCTGATAGTATTGATAGTATTGATGCAATACTAAGAAAAAAGCTACTTTATTTTTGAAAATTCAAAACATTTTTGTTCTTTGTAAAAGCTTTTTAATAAGATAAGTTAAAATTGAAAAAATATAAGAATCAAAAACGGTTTTCTGTAAGTGCAAAGAGTTCGATGAAAAAAAAAATACTCCGAGATTACGAATTTTTAAAATATTTTTAGTTTTTTTCATATATTTGTATGTATATATTAAGTTTTAATCTCTGTTTGTCTGTTTGTTTGTTTGTCCGATCCTAACTCAGGAACACCTGGACCGATTTGCCTCAAATGTTGATCGGGAGAACCATGGGAATGTTCATAGCCTGGTTTTGAGATTATAAGTTGAGTTGGTCGACTTTTTTAGAAAATATTTGTTTACCGGTAAAATCGACCTAGTGCGGGTAAACGGTGTGATTAACTATACTTAATCTGGGCAGCGCCGGGTTCACAAGCTAGTTCATCACATTATTTGTAAATCTATATGTTTTGTAATTCAATATTTTTTGTAATTCTATATTTTTTGTAAATCTATATTTTTTGTAATTCTATATTTTTTGTAAATCTATATTTTTTGTAAATCTATATTTTTTGTAAATCTATATTTTTTGTAAATCTATATTTTTTGTAAATCTATATGTTTTGTAAATCTATATTTTTTGTTTAGATTTACTGTTGGATTATATTGGGACATGGTCTTCTTTATTTTGTTCTCTTTACTAACTTCTATATTCAGGTTTATTCTCATTTATGCATTTATTCATTTCCTAATTTATTGGTTTTTGATTTATTAATTTATTCATTTTATCATTTATTCATATATTTTTTTCTTTATTTACTCATTCATTTATTCATCCTTTTATTCATTTATTAATTCATTCATGTATTAATTCATTTTTTTCTTCATTTTTTCATTTTTTCAATTATTTATTTATTTTTATTTTTGAACTTATTTATTTATTCATTTATTCATTTATCTATATATTTTTATTATCTTATTCATCTATTCATCATTTGCTTATTTACCATTATTTTTATTAAACATTTACTCTTTCTCACATTATATGTACTTTTGTTATGGCTCAATCTTGCGAAGTATAACAAAATACAATACATGCAATTATTTACTTTTTTTCAGTCCTACATCAAGAAGAAAAAGGCATAAAGCTGCAATGCTGCCTAATGTTGCTCAATGCTGCTCAATGAAGACCAAACAGACAATGCTCACTTTTGTTTACAAATATATATTGTTATTATTTTTGTTTTTGGAGGGGCGGGGTTTATTGATATTCATTTTATTTTACAAATTGTGTAAACTTTTTCATTGATTTCTCGAAATGATTTTATTTCTAATTTTTTTTCTTGGGGAGGGGAGAAGGGGCAAGGGTCGCTGATATTGAAAAAATTATTAAATAGTTAGTTCAAATATTTAAAGTAATATCCCATTATTACCACCCCCCCCCCGTCCCCCCACATGCCCGTATCAAGGTGGGGGTGCAAGGGGTCAAGTGCACCCCCTTTCTCCTAAAATGGGGGTGTACCGACGAATTTGCACCCCACTCCTCTTTTACATAAATTGCTTGATATAATCTTCTCCAAAATATTGAGATTTTAGTATTCAAAGTGTTCAAAAATTATTTTCATTCTGTATTTTGTATAGTCACTGTGTGCATGTTTATACAAAACAATAGTTTATTAAAGCTGTTCAGACCAAATTAAACCTTTTAAGAAAAATATCTGTCCGGAGGTAAGATTTTCTGATCGAACTGGTTTGTTCTTTCGCATATGTCGATATATCTACATATAAACAATGAAACTAATATGTACAGGGTGTCCCAATAAACATGGGAATTCAGCGACGAATTTGATATCGTCTTTTTAAACAATTCTTTGATTTAGTAGCGATACCTACTGAGAAAGCTGTAATCAGTAAGAGTTTCGTCTGCTATGTTCACATTTTGTTTGAGTATGTTTTGACTGCTTCGTTTGTACTTCGTAAAACATGAAAATTGCAGCATAGAATAGAGTAAACTTGTCCGTCTTTACTGTTCATCTTACGGAGACATTATAAACACATCTTTAGAGTCTTTTACCCTTTTAATAAAATAAACTCTAGCAGACATAATAATATCATGGCTTTTAAAATTAAGTATTACAATGCTAATTCATAACAAAGACGATATCGAATTCGTCACTGAATTCCCATGTTTTTGGGACACCCTGTATTACATTACATTACCTCAGTTTTAATATTTTCCACAGACAATTCAAAATCCGTGATCGCGTGAAGGTGGAAGAACTGCAGAGTTGTAATATAAAAATTATCAACACTTTCTGTCATCAGATATTGTAAAATTTTTGATGAAAAATAAATTATGAAAATTTTCGGTGTATCATACAAAACATCAAATTCAAATTAGAATTTAATCTACATAACATAAAACTCAAGCTACAATTACTATTTTTAATACCAAAATTACAAAATATGTCAAGTTCAAGCTAAAATTTTGTGTCGTAACTTTATAGTACGTCAAATATTAGATAATAATCTACATAACATAAAATTCAAGCTAAAATTACTAAAGTTATACAAAAATTTTCTACACCTCCTTCACAACGTTTCACTTGGTGACCCTGAGTCAATGCTTTGACAATCCCCCTTTACACCCCCCTTTGGGAAAATCCTGGCTAGGGGCCCGTCCCAAAGCTCCAAAAATAGTTAAACAGTTAAGTTATTTAGATGTTTATTTCACTCTTATAAAAATGTTTTTTTTTAATATTTTTGCTCAATTTGAAGATTTTGTTCTATATTTTTATACATTTTATAAATTTCATTTTTCATGGTTTAAAACTGAACAGATAAAATACTTCTAAAACTATCCTAAAGTCTATGTACCAGGGGTAACATAGGTTAAAAAGATTTGAAATTTTTTCTTTTAAACATAAAAAACAGGTTGTGTAAAATGCATTATATATCATTGTCAACATTGTGTTATGTTAAAGCTATGAATAAATTATATATATTTAATAACATCGTGTTAAGTTAAAGTGATGAATAAATTATATATATTTAATATCATTGTGTTGAGTTAAAGCAAAGAATAAATTTTATATATTTAATAACATTGTGTTGAGTTAAATTGATGAATAAATTATGTATATTTAAAAACATTGTGTTGAGTTAAAGCAAAGAATAAATTATGTATATTTAATAACATTGTGTTGAGTTAAAGCAATGAATAAATTATATATATTTAATAACATTGTGTTGAGTTAAAGCAAAGAAAAAATTATGTATATTTAATAACATTGTGTTAAGTTAAAGCAAAGAATAAATTATGTATATTTAATAACATTGTGTTGAGTTAAAGCAAAGAATAAATTATGTATATTTAATAACATTGTGTTGAGTTAAAGCAATGAATAAATTATGTATATTTAATAATATTGTGTTGAGTTATGTCAAGGCATGTCAAGCACTTATATTCAAGTTTTTAACTATAATTAACTATATATATAAATACAGCCTTACAGGGTATCCCACATCATATTAGATCGTTTAAAACTTTGAATTGCGATGTTCGGAGCAAATCAGAAAAAAAAATCATTTTTATAAATCGTATTAGGCTAACATAAAAATTTGCATTTAGAAATTACTAGGTTTTTTGAGTATTATTTGCGTATTTTGTTCGGTTTTAGTGTTAAAGCTTGCAGATAATCCATGATAATACATGCCCGTAGCTATCGAGGGGGGCACAGGGGTACGTCCCCCCCTTTTACCTCCGAAGGGGGGGCACACTTTCTGAGACAAAAAAGAAGAAAATGAAATAATGAAAAGAAGGAAACGAAAAAAGAAAGAGAGAAGGAAAAGGGGGAGATAATTGGCATAAAATTTGATTTTTGGTTCCAGTATTATTTTTATTTCTATCCTGTTTTGTGAAATGATAGGGTTTCTATACATTTTTTTGTGCTTTGGTAAGCTTATTCTTTTCCCTTCTTTTAATAGATTCATGATTCTAATGAACCATCGTACGGCAAAATGTAAAATGGAGACAAATTTAAATTTCATACAAATATGGCCAGGTTTAGGAGAAGCTGTTTGTGCTCATCCTCAAGCTGCAGGGGGTTCTTTTCGAATTTTATGTTCATGCTTGAGCTTTTTCTTTTCGAATTTTAGTTTTGAGAAAACTGAAGATTTTCATCCTTGCGTTTTTTGATCTTTACAGGAACTTATATCATTTACTTTCTATTAATTTAATAAGAATATATTCGCTATTCGTGGTTAAAAAAATTTCAGTTGTTCATTTATTTATATACAGGGTGTCCCACGATACATGACAATAGGAAGACGACTTGAAAGTCGTCTTTGATATTTGAATTTATTTTTGACATTTATTCTTCTATCTACTTTAACATATGTAGGATTCTTGAAACAATTAT